CCTTAGAAGCCAACCTCCTTCCAGTGTACACACATACACCCACATACATTCACCCTCCTGTGCATCTGCCAACATGTTTGTATTGTAGCTGCATGGATTTAATGAAACACGCTCTTTATTCCAACCAAGTCCCGTTTGCATCACACGCCACCACAGCAATGGCCTTCAACAGCTCAAGTTAAATGACAAAGAGTTCAAAGCATCGACTTGGCGACCAAACTTTCCAGATCCCTATCAGGTAGAGGTTCAAAGGACTGTGCCAGAACAAACCTGGTCCATGGGGCCCTGGCTCACAACCCACAGGACACCAAAAGACCCACTACCAGCTTCCCAGAGCCAAGACAGCTTGGCTCTAGAGGACCAACGTCCATACCACGACTGGACAAAGCTGTTCTGACGGCACCAGGGGGACCTACACAGTATTAGGCGGATGGATTTGTTTTGGGGCAAGGCGTAAGACTAAGCTTTATTAAACCATACATTTCTGTCACAACCTTCCACTCATTCACAACCTGCATGACATCATTGGAAAGGACCTAACAGTGAACAAAAATCTAAATGAACAATGGCGCATGCGAAAGAAAAAAAGGTCTTGATCTATGTGTGATAAGACAAAGAGGACAGTATGGATCATCTATAGTTGAACCTATCTTACAGGTTGGGTGGTTGGTGGCTAATCATAGTTTGAACCCAACATTAGCTGTCTGCATGACGGGTTCATTGACAGACCCTTCGTACATCACCAATAGGTTTCCTGAAATGCAGTTTTAAAGCTCAGTGTGGTGGCTCCAAATGTCACCGTTCCGGCAGTGCATGACTCCTCCAGACTCCCGGCTAATCCAAAAATGGGCAAAGAGGTCAAGTGCAAGTGGAGCAGAGGCAGGCCATTCGAACATCTCTTGGCCATGGACTGTCCTGTGACAGTACCCACCTGTCACATGAAGTGGCCAATATGCATTCCTTTAAGCCTAGATACATTCTAGGCAGGTGAGTTATATAAAAATTCACCCTCTCTGCAGTTGTCATGAACAGGTAAACTAGCTATAGAGACCAAAGCCATTTTTTGTACCAGGGTGTAAATATGTTTATTTCTGCTGTAAAGTTGGGCATTTTCACATTAGAGTCTTTGAGGGACTGACTCACTGTTGGAGCCAGTTTCAAGTGGCCATTTAAGGAACTGCACTTCTGCGCTGGCTTCATCTTTTACATGGGTCATGTATGCGGGTGGGATCTGACACTGACATATCCTCATCTCTGATACTAACAAATCCCCAATCAAAAGTTTGACCTGGATGTTAAAATTAAACTTGCCTGTTGTTTGGTTAATGTGAAAACGTCAAGCTGGTGTCTGTAACCTGCCAAAGACACTAGTACGGGAAGTGAAACATCAATTTGTAAGCCTCTCTCAGTGAATATGGCATCAACAAGTAAAGCTTATCAACTTAATAGTTCTAAACTAGGAAATCAGGGCCTCCAGTATGTGGAGCAAGCAGCTCATGAAAAACAATGTATTTGATTCTAAACTAAAGAGTTTTAGAGTCGTGACAGAGTACATATTGTATTCCACTGAAAGAAAATTCAGAAAATTGCTCTGAAATCTGCTCTACACTAAACCTGTAACCAAATGCAGCGCCAGCATGTTACGGTGACCAAAACCCAAACAGGCTCACTTCAGTATCACTGAGTGTCTCAGGTCACTCGCAACTATATACTGTGTCTTTCATAACATTTTAAAACCAGTGTTTTGTTTTATCATTTTTGACATTTTGACACCACTGTTTTATTAAAGACACCATTTAATTAATGGCAAGGAGTGGAGTGCTTAATTAAGAGACAACCTGAGACAGGTGTTTAAGGGTTAATCAGACTGTCGTCTATCTGCCTTCTTAGCCAACAAAAGCTGATCTCAAGATCAGATCCTCCCTGAGTCTTAAAGTTTTAGATTACACAGACTTGATAGGAGATTCTAATTAAATCCAACTCAATAAGTGGACTCGATTTAAAAACTTTGATAAAATGCCATCGAACACTCACCTTGATTGCATCCTTGCTACCACATTAGCATTAAACTCCAGTCTAAAAGAGATACATGAATTTAAACAACTGATTTTCTGGCCACTTATGGGTAACAACAATGAACGGACAAAGCATCACCTCGTACGTTGATACATAAACTTGTTTGATTATTTCAGAGCAACATTATTGAGTATTTGGAGTCGTCTTTCTGTCCAACAAGTGAATATAAGATCAACATTCGCTCTCTTTTAGCTGTGGTTCCATACCAGTGCCTGAGGGAAATTATGTATCAGGCTCTTTAGGTGCTCAGAGCTCCACTATGTTCGCCAGCTAGATGTTATTTATGTCAGACTGCTGTTTGGTGCCATACAGTCGGTTCTAAAGCTCCATAAAGCTGAGGGGAGCTGCAGATTTGGGTGATAATTCTTTCCAGTTTCATTATTACAAGCAACTCTTTTTACACTTTTTATAGTTTTTTTGATAAATCATTAAAATATCAAGTCTAGCAGTTAAAAAAAAAAATAAAAAATGTCCCGCATAATCTTCATTAAACAATCTCCCTCATCCTGCTCTGTCCTCCAGCATCCTTTCACATCATTTCTTTCCTTTACTCTCCTCTCTTCCCGTCGCTGCTTTCTCATTGTACTCTCCCCACTTCTTTCCCATCCCCCACTTCTCCTCCTGAGATGAAGACTGTCAACGGGCCCATATATCTGACACCGTGCACCGTGAACATACTCGCACGCACATCCAGTCTGGGATAGTGTTCGCTAATGGGGCAGCGGGTATGAGGGGGAATGGGAGACGGGAGTCGGCTGGGTGTTGCTGAGTCCATCAGACAGGTTATAAGACCGTGACAAGGACTTTCGTTTCCCATAAATCTAGATCCTTATGGATGTACTGTAACGTCAACATCAGCACTATAAATATCAATGGATTCCTGCACAGGACCCCAGTAAGAACAGCAATAAGTTTGGAGCTTTTTGCACCACCAAGAAATAAAATCACGCAGCGTGAGTATTAATATTTAAAGGGCTTAGACTGTTTTCATTACTGATTAATCTTGATTATTATTTTAATTAACTGATTTATAATTTAGTTCAGAAAATGTAAGAAATGAGCAGAGGATGTGCTTCCCAGAGCCCCAAGAAGTCACTTCTTTTTTGTCTCACCAAAACTAAGAATGTCCGATAAAAAACAATATAAAACAGAGAAGGGCAGCAAAACGCCTTTTGGCTTTGAAAGGCTGAAAGAACAAGAACAAAAGGGGGACTTCAAACCAAAACACAGCACGCTCATGTTCTGCTCTTAATGGCTGCAATATTACAGAAGTGCTGTGATGTCGTTTAAGACGCTCATTCATTTCTGTCTGAGAAGCTGCTGGATCCTCATATATCCCCCCGACATAAGATCTGCAGCCTGAGCCCACGTCAGTTCAACGGTACCGCTGCCAGTCGGAACTCGCACAGTGTAATGTCAGAGAGTCTGAATTACTCCTTTAAGTGGATGGATTTATGCGGCACGTTCAGAAGGGCAGACTTCATGCTGCTCCGCTCTCCGACTGCTCTGCTCACCAAACATATCACACACCATCTGACACATGAATAATGTGGAAAATACAGAGAGAAATTCCACTTCTGTTGCTTCACCTTCTCCAAGTGACTTTTTCCCCCCCTCTCTCTCTCTATCTTTCTCTCTCTCTTCCCTCTGTTTCTCATTTCTCACACACACCATGCACTCGCACTCTTTCACACTCCTCCTCCTCCTCTCTCACACAGCCGGCAGAGTGCTGGCTCTGGTTGGCAGCGAGCCTCTCTCAGAATGTTAGGTGGTACAACCCTGAAGGAATCGACGCCTTCGACACGCCGCCTCATAAAGGCTCGCATGCTGACACAAGTGATGAATGGCATTTAGTAAGAGGAATCAAAAAGGTCAGGAAGTTATAAACACTGGAGCCGCTCTGCTGTTTCTGACAAGAAGCATGCATGCAAAGTCCTTACATGTATAATAAACATCAGAGATTGAGCGATCTGCTTCTGCCTCCAGTAAAGCAACCTGATCAGAGCAAACTGTTCATAACAGTCGGAAATCATGGATTCCACCTGTCAGGACTAACATGGACCCGGTAGTTCTTACTCTTCTTTACAAACCAAGAGGCTGCATTCAGAGCAATATTACTGGAGACATGGGTTAGAACTTTATCTGCACAGTATAGTTTAGTCTGTGACACATTAGGCAAATGAGCTGACTACGTTGCTGATTGCGGATGTGCATGATAATTTATGCAGCATAAAATAACAAGAAGCATAAAGCAAAATCCTGCGATGCTGCATGAATAGTTGCATGAATAACTTCACCTCGTGAAAAAACAACAGACTTGATCTGTGTCTCCTCCTGTTGCAAGCAAAGCAACAGACTTAAAAACTCCAAACTACTTTTTCAAGAACTCATTGTGAAATACAAACCTTTGTGCACTTCCCACATGTTTTGGAGTGCACAGGGACTATTACATTTCCAGTAATCACCTCAGAACCACAGAAAATATAAGTCTAAACATATATTTTTAACCAGTTGAGCCTATCCTCATATAGCTACAATTTGGGGATCCCTTTCTTAACATCGTGGACAGCATGCAAAGTTACAGGCAGGGAGATTTGTTTTAAATAATAAAAGCACACAAGCCAAAAAAAATGGTAGATGTGAGAAGTGTCCAAACAAACTGGTAAAATAAAGTTCCTTATTATTTTTAAATCATAGAAAACTGAAAATATAACATGATCATGTGTAAATGGGGTGATCACCAGAGATCAGACGTCCTACAACTGAACCATAACCTACATGTTAAACGTTCAGTGCGACGGTCGGTGCAAACTACACGAGTGAGCATCACAGACGCGCAATGAGCCTCCGTGTGCGTAAAAACTGAACACCAACTGCGCGCCGCTACTTTTGCTTCAGTTTCTCCTCTTTAAATTGACATTTACCTGGTTGGTGGTGTCGGGCGGCAGGTTCTTAATGAGGATTTTCCTCCTGTTGCTCAGCTCCTGGCGAGTTTTGGCCAGCCTCCTCTCGATCTCCTCCGGCTCCAGGTCCGGCAGGTCGCGGAGGCTAATCGCCGGCTCGCAGGGCTGCGCCGCCGCCGCCTCCTCATCCTCCGGCTGCCGGCTCTCGGGGCTGTCCATCTCCGGGGAAAGTGCGCTATCCCGGGCTAGAGAGGAGTGAACACTTGGCGGCTGGATGGATGAGGCTGCCGCCATCTTGGGTAGCTGAGGGAAAAGTGTGAGGAAAGCGAGAGAGAGAGAGAGAGAGAGAGAGAGAGAGAGAGAGAGCAGGTGGGAGGTGTGTTAGAGGCAGAAAGAGAAATAAAAACACTCCAACCACGAATAAATGCATTAAAAAATAGTCTTTTAGTGAGCCAGGTAAACTAATGAGACTCTTAATGTAATGTAATGTAAACATGTAATCAGTTTATTTCGCTCTTCACTTCTGTGTTTATTCAAAGGATCTAAATGTAATCACAGCTCATGTGTAAACTTGTCTGGTCTCGTGGTTATTTATTTGCTATTTCACTTTATTTGAAGAAACCGGTGAACTACAGCTATATTATTCCACCATACAGACTATTTCTTGAAAAAAAAAAAAAATCAAATAAAAGCTGGTTTTAAGCTGCGGTGTCGAGATGAATGAACCGTGTGTGTGTTTGCGCTCACATGGTTTCCAGCCGCTGGAGTCGCACCTCGGACTCCTGGCGACCCCAGCTGTCTGCTCCACGTATAGGAGCCAGTTCAGATTGGTCGATGAGGTCAATTACAACCCATCAGACGTGTTTTATGTGTGTGTGCGCCTCCTAAGTGTCTGGACAAGCAGCTTGTGATCCACTACACTGGAGCTTACTTGATTTTTATCATCATTTACAATGTGCTCCAATCCTTTTAACAGCGTGTTTAAAGGAACAGATTCCAGGCTCACACAACAAGGGCTGACTGTATAATCAACCACATGTTGAATCTGCAAAATACTTTGCCTTCACTAAACTGTGTACAGTAGCTGCTAGACGGCACAAGACCAGTAAATATATGCACAACCTTGTACATGAGGGTACAAAGGGAAACTATTTTGTTCTGCAGCCCAATTAAAACATTTCTTCCTTTGGTCAAAGAGAAAGAGAGAGGCATTCACTAGAGAATATCTCTAAACTGCCAGAGCTTTCCTGTTCCCCATGTGCATAATGTGACCATGAATGGCTGTGTGCCTTCCCTCCTTTCTACCCAAGTCATCCAGTGAATGCCAACCAAGCCTGCCTGCCTGCCTGCCTGCCTGCCCACCGTGGGTGGAAAGCTGCTCCTGGCAAACACAAGGGGAGCAGAGCTCCCTGCAGAGTCCTCACAATGCCTATGTAGCTTCCGCAGGCAGCATGAGTCGCCGACAGACACACACACACACACACACACTGTATGCTCACGCTCACAGGACGCATTCACACTCATGTAGGCACACAAGCATGTCAACAAGCACACATCAACCCACTTAGGAAATATTTAGAGCTCGATTATACCGAGGCCTGTAAGAGACGGTGAAATCAACCTCCATGTTCTCTCTCTCGCCATCTGTGTGAAGCATTTCTTGGCAGATCGAAGTCCAGACAATCACAGTTGTCAGTGGGTGAAAATGATCTCGCTTTGCCAAGTGGCTGAACCAGTGTAACTGAGACGCAGTGACTGTATGTGCACTGTTTGCTGTATGAATGCTCGAATCGAACTTACGCTCGGTCCACTCCAGAGTGGGAAGGCCAAACAAAAGGGCAAACTGTGTCATTTCAAACAGACTCAGTGGATAATGTTCAGTGTTTTTTTTTTTTTTTTCATGGATACAACTCTTCATGTCTTCATGCGTCAGTTCAGTGTTTAGCATTATGTGCTAAGAATTCAAGCCACAGGAGAAGTGCACCAGTACCACGATGAAATCTGCTGAACACTGTGGACAGTATTTTATTCCAAAAGGCAACAATACCAGCTTTTGTTTCATTATTTTAAGGACAAGGATTTTGACTGTGATGAAGACACCGTAGTGTTGAAACTGTTTGCGCGATAAAAGGCTGTGAATAAGCGGTGTGCTCCAGGTCTCTTTTTTTTTTGTACTGTCTTTTTGTACTTTTTTGTAAATTTGCTGTCCTCAAGCTGAGAAGCATCAGTTTCAGCTGCGTTTCTACTGGATTTCAAGGCTTACACTTGGTGATATGAACTGCAAAACTGAAATGTTTTGTTGATCGACAGAAAGTAGGCTACCGTTCCAACAACTGTGCAGTCATTTCCATCCATCCATCATCTATACACTGCTTAATCCTCACTAAGGTCGCGGGGGGGCTGGAGTCTATCCCAGCCGACCCAGGGCGAAGGCAGGGGACACCCTGGACAGGTCACCAGTCTATCGCAGGGCCACACCCAGAGACAGACAACCAAGCACACTCACATTCACACCTACAGACAACCCAGAATCACCAATCAACTTCAACATGTTTTTGGACTGTGTGGGAAGAAGCCGGAGAACCCGGAGAGAACCCACACTACACGGGGAGAACATGCAAACTCCATGCAGAAAGATTCCAGTGCCCCCAACGGGACGTGAACCGGCAACCTTCTTGCTGCGAGGCAACAGTGCTACCAACTGCGCCACCCTGCAGCCCTGTGCAGTCATTTATCAAGCAAAAATGCAAAAAATTATATCTTGTTCCATCTTCTCAAAAAGTGAGAATTTTCTGCTCTACTTACTGCATCTTTGGGTTTTGTTGAAGGCGAAACACATCTGAGAATGTCATCTTTGAGTCTAGGTAATTATGATTTTTGCAATTTTTTTAAAAACTTACGTAGATCACACTAGTAAAACAAACAAACAAAAAAGTGAGGTGCAGCCTTCATAGACTGCACCTTGGACTCCTGACCAGCAGCAGGTCGTTTTCTGTCATATTCTCACATCAAATTACAAGTGCAAATTCCAAGTCACAAACTCGTGTGCTCCATGAAATCAAACTGTGATAAATGCTGCTGAGCATCCATTCAGTATGTAAGCTATGTTTACAGTTCAACAAACACGGCAATCTGCTCGAACAAAGGCATTTCTTCCACTTGAAAAATGCCGAGGAGAAGTCAGGTTTTGATCTAACTGCGGCTCATACAATAGCTGGTGCCTGCTGACAGATTGGGGGACATGAATCATTGAGCAGTGGTTCTGTGGAAAGACAGCGAGGACTTGCCTGTCACTTGCACAGGCTGATTCTGGAGACGCATGAATCACTCCACTAAGTGCTAAACAACGTTTCCATGAGAGAACAATTAATTTGTTCTCTCAGTCCCCTTGGCACACACGCATGCCAACACTGTGTAACACTTACAGACACACACCAACACACACACATACGTGCATTAACTCATGTCAGCCTGCAGCTGCCCTGCGCAGCTACACAAACTCTGTACCTTTTCAAAGCACTTTTACCTATGTGCAAGTCAAATCTTCATAATAATGGGCTATGCTTCGCAAACCAGGGGAAAAAAAAAAGAAAAAAAAAAAGATATGTTAGTCGCTCTCCATCTAAAACACAAGAGCCCTGCTGGTGCTTCAATGTGTCAGCCAATGATTCACAGCCTTTTGGAGTGGGTGGCAGCAGAGAGGAGAAGAAGAAAGCAGGAAAACGTTCACCGCTGCTCACTGGGACTGAGAGTGTGAGGGCGTGGGTGGGCAGAGTGGCTGAACAGGCAAAGCAGGCACCTGGGATGAGCTCAGTAGGCGTGAGGATGGGAGGGGAAGGGAGGGAAGGGGAGGAGGAGGTATCAGGAGGGGGGCTTAACCCTAAATGGTGAAGTGGCTCATCGTGCGTGGGAGCCGGCGCTGAGCACGTACACGTGTGCATATATATCATATAGGACTGTGTGATTATCTCCTCCTGCAATCCCAGAGTGCATGTAAAAATGGTTTCTGTTTCAGAGCCAGAGCAGCGCTCGCATAAATGATCACAGATGCCGTGTGCTGGTGTGGCTTCCTTTCTCTTACAGCGTAGAAGAGATTAAAGGACATGTGTCCTACTAAAAACAGCTGACCTGAACACACAGGGACAACATGCACAAGAGCTCCCTGCCCAATTCATGGCCTAATTACAGTGGTCGTAATCATACCTCTTCACCAGTGCATCGGGGAAGCTACTTTTATGTGGTGAGCATGTGAGTCAGTAATGAGAACGTCCCATTTAGTCCCTGCACTTTTTTAATGTTTTGATCCCTCTAAAGGCCCTAATTAGACTTTCTTGCAAGTTTACAGTATTCGGCAGAGTTGTACCTTTGAGCCGAAAGCTGTGACCAAATCCAGGTTTTACTGTAAGGTTGAAGTTGTGTTCTCAGCTGCTGCACACGTTTTCCACGTTTTTAGAAGAAAACCTACATGATGGAAGAGCGAGCGCTGTACAGCAAACTGATTTCAGTGTCTGATAAACTGCTCGCTTGCATGCGAAGCTTAAGATGATCACACTGCTAAGATGAGTTTGGGAAACTGGGACTCTGGACTGCACAAAAATATGCTGCTAGTGCATGTCTGCTGTACTAGTTGGCAGAGCAGAGACTGACTGAAATGCCTCGAGGGTGCTTGGACACAGAGCTCAGTGCTCTAATTCACAGCGTTTCCCTGGCAGGGAGCAGCAGGCAGCTCAAGAGAAAGAGGGAGAGTGCAGGAGATACAGTGACAGTGGGGGGGGGGAGAAAGACAAAGACAAGGCCATGAGGAGGAGGAGGAGGTATGAATGAATTCAGACAAATTGATAAGGTTTTTGGGATATGGCGACAGGCAGGCAGAGACATTTGGACAAAACTCCGTCTCTCCTTCAGCTCTCCACAGTGCTGAACTACTTCCCTGCCGAGAGTCCTGTGCGCCCCTCTCCATCTTCACCTCAAGGTGAAACAATTTACCTTGCTGCACTTCATGACTTTGTCTTAAAATAGACATATTCAGAAACAACCTATGCCTGCGTATGTTGTACTTCATTTAAATAGAATGTGAGAGCTTGAAAGGTGCGATCAAATGAAAGCATCAAAAAGACTATCCTTACAAGGTCAGAAGCTGTGTTTGAAATGCTTCAGGTACATCTTTTCCATACGCTACAGACAGCACAGATGTCCCTTAGTATTAGAATAAGAACATATTACCAGCAGTGATAGTTCTGTCCTAACTGAAGCAGAGACAGTCACTTTCTAATACAGGAGTGTTAAAACAGGAC